TCAAATCAACCTTAGGCAGGATTTACAGACTCAAGAAGGAAATGAAAAGCCCTTATTTCTATACTCAAATAAGGTTTGTTTATTTGGCATGAACTTGTATCAAACTTTCTCCCCCCCACTTAGAATGGGAACTAAGTGAGGAACCTGAATCTTGAATGTTACATGTTCAAGAATCTTTGTTGCCCATCATCTGATTGTATCCCTTATAGTAGCCTTTTTTTTTCGTCTGGTAAACTTAACTAAACTTGTTATATTAATTATCTGTTTTTTTCCCTGAGAACCTGCCATCATCCTCTTAATTTTCAAAAAAATTACGTGTTTACATTATTAGGAGCCTTCCATTTACCATAGTGTAACAACAGGAAAATAGGACACACTTTGTAATTAACCATCTCCTCATATCAATCTTTCACTAACATAAAAATGTACCATGTTTGCAAAATAAGCACCTAAATATATGTTTACCCAGACAAATCATAAGCACCTATATATATGCATATGTTGACAAATCATAAGCACCATAACAAAAAGTGGGCACAAGATACCTTTATAGATGGTACCATAGCAATAGCTTCCTCAACAGTTTCAGGGCAGAGATTGCCAAGAACACAAAGCTGCACAACAGAGAAAAATCCAGCATTAAGAAGATTGTTGTGGAAAAAATGAAAAGAAAATTTTCATCCTAGAGTTTATTGTGCATGTTGGGCAATTACCTCAAACTCAGTCAGTTGATATCTGCTCAGAATTCTGAATCCCAGTTAAGATCAACCTTTGATGCAGATGGAACATCATTTATTTATTTAAAGTAACTAATAAAAACCAGAGTTTCCTATGGAAGTCACTAGCCCAATTAAGCAGTTGAAAGATTCATGTTTGAATTTGTGGCAAGTAAGAGTTACATATACACATCAACAGATGAACTCAGCTAGATTTCCAATCCACACAGACCTCATAACTGAATGGATAATCTTAGTTAAGTAATAAATGCTTCGTCTTTATCCCATTGTTGACTATATTTTTACAATCCTTAACAAACGATTGAACTCCTTAAACTGCTGTAGTTTAACTTGCTTTAAGGCTACACACAACATAACTTGGACAAATAACGAGAACCCATGACTAATACGAGCCATCCAGCTAAATTTGGAGTTGTAGGATTGATAAACATGCCTCCTCTAACGGGCAAATTTGGTTAATTCTCTATTTTATGTGAAAATAATGAAAGATGGGAAGTTGTGCATATGTATGAATGTAGTAGACATGTAGCACAATCATGAACAACATAGAACATAATTTCCCATCTTCACAATTTGAAGGATACTCTCTAACTTGTTTGACAGCATCAGGATTTTTATAACGGCTAAAGCGCTTCACATACTGCAGCGACTTCTCAAATACTCTGAGGAAGTAATATGAAAAAGAAAGGGAAAATAATCAATTATTCTTATCAAACTTGTTTAAGAGAAAACAGTTCAAGGCCAGACAAAGTCAATTTAAATCTCCTTTTTGCCAGACAATCTACATAATCATAAGCTGGGTTTGCAGGTGAAAGGTTGAAATTCATAAATCAAGGCACAACCCCTATCTTAGAAATTACAATAGATAAAAATGAAAGAAAAACTCACTGAGAAACTTGGTTTCTGGGGTCATCAGACATCTGCTGAAGCTGGTCGTACTTATGTTCAAGAATCAACGCAACTTCGCAGTTCATTAAGCACTTGGCTTTCAAAAACTCTGCCCACCACACAAGAAAACAAATAAATACTAACAATATATTTATATATGTAGGTAGAGAGAGAGGGAGAGAGAGGTACCGTCTCCGATTTTGAGCTCGGCGGCATTTTCTTCTTCTTCTCCAGACATGTTGCAGAGCAAGCAGAAGGTACCGAAAATCTAGCTAGAGAGAGAGAGAGCGAGAAATTGAAGTATTTGAAACCCACTTTTCGAGTAAGCAGGAATTCAATTCGGAATCAGACTTGCCGATTTATAAATATTCTAGAAAGGGATTGGGAAAGTTGAAGTTCGGTGCGGGTTTCCGAAAAAAGAAAAAAAAGAAAAAGGAAAATTGAATGGGCATAACAAACATTTGTCCATTTACTAATTCCTAATCGGATGAAGAGGAATTGAATTGAGGAGTTAGAATTTGTATTTCTATTGTGAAAAAAGAAAAAAAAGAAAAAGGAAAATTGAATGGGCATAACAAACATTTGTCCATTTACTAATTCCTAATCGGATGAAAGAGGAATTGAATTGAGGAGTTAGAATTTGTATTTCTATTGAAGCTGTTTACTAAACTATTAGAATCAGAGTAAGAATGATATTGGTTCCCAACAAGTTATTTACTAACTTCTCCTGAATCGGAATTGAAACCTGTTTGTTTACTAAAATGCCCTAAATTATTTTGTGAGCAAATTTTTATTGGGTTAAAGTAGATAGCGAATTTGGAATTTAAAGATTATGTGAGGATATAACAAGTAAAAAAGATGAATTACTAATAGTTAGTTCTCCAACAATTATAATACCACCTCCCACCCAAGAGTTTAATTCTTCCAAAATCAGGTGTTGAATTCCTAATTTTGTGTGGACTCCACTTGCATTTTCGTTCTTTTATGTGAAGTAAACACATGAGTAATACATAATTCAATGCATATGGACCATTTAATTAAGGGGAAATGTTTTTTGTCACATGAACAAAAAATTAAGAGAAATGTCACCTTAATTTTTCAAAAAATTTACCTACCACTAACATTGTCCGAAGTTTTGTTAACCATTATAATGTGTAGTGTACTTGCCTTATACTCTATGGATATTGAGGACATTGCTTGCCTCATTTTCTGAAAGAAGACATTCATCCTTCATCCAAGTTGCAATTTGGTACATATAAATTTTTTTTTATAAATAAAAACCATAAAATGATATTTTATTTTCACACATATCAAACAGTGATTGACATGAACGAAGAAGTTCATACTTCAGAAGAAGAAATACAAGCATTTTCTTTTCTACTAATTAAAAAGATTAATAAAATGTTGGTTGCACAAATCTTACGGCCTACTATTTAAGGCAAATGGGATATGCACAAACACATGTCGTCCTACTTTGTGTTGGATGGGGTGTGCGCGGGCGCATGGATTACCGTGCGATTAATGATGATGCAGATAGATGGATGGATTGATAGAGTATGCCTGTTTGATCTGACTTTGCTCAAAGCATTTGTGGCCCAGCAAGGAACAGTTATCGATCGTCAGGTTCATGGCTTGAGCAACTAGGCCGTTGATGGTGGTGTTGGAAATGACGGTTGGTGGATTTGGATGGTACTCCAATGCCTCGCTAGATTGTGAAGGTTGTATGATATATGGGGTGGACAAAAAAGTAGCCGAGATGGTGCTTTGGCGCCTTGAAAATCAAAGGTCAGTTGATACATTGATGGATGGAAAATTAAGCTTACTTCCTAGGAAAGCATTTAAAGATATTGAAAGTACATGACAGGAAGATAAATGATAGGAAAAGATAAATTTGCGATGTGGGAGGGGTTGATACATTGATGGATGGAAAATTAAGCTTACTTCCTAGGAAAGCATTTAAAGATATTGAAAGTACATGACATGAAGATAAATGATAGGAAAAGATAAATTTGCGATGTGGGAGGTTTTGGTTGGTGTTGGACCCTTTGAATGTTTGCAAGAGGGTTTATATTTATAGGAAGAGTTGGAGATAAGGCTGGCAAAGACAAGGATTTGGAGGGCTGCATCTACTCTTTACTTTTCAGTTGTGGGCCCCTTGGTCAGCTGGCTTCGAGTTGTTTATTCTTTCGCTTCAGTGGCTGTCAATCAGTGCGTTTCTCCAGATAGTGGACCTGTTCTTCTGATCCTCGATCTCTATCCTCAGTCTCCAATGATTTGGGTCGGGGCATCGTGGTCGGACTTTAGTTAATGCTTTTCGTCATAGGGCAAAAAGTTTCCACTTTTCCAGAAATCCCGTTTCAAGTTTCCCTCGGTGGGACCTTTGTACATGTCTCAAGATACTGGGCACGTCGTGGCCATCATCGGTCTCCAATGATTTGGGTCGGGGCATCGTGGTCGGACTTTAATTAATGCTTTTCGTCATGGGGCAAAAAGTTTCCACTTTTCCAGAAATCCCGTTTCAAGTTTCCCTCGGTGGGACCCTTGTACATGTCTCAAGATACTGGGCACGTCGTGGCCATCATCTAATGTTCGCTTAACCTTATTGTGACCTTTGGTCACAACTTGGTGAACTGCTAGGTGTGGGTCGAAACTGGGCTATCACTTTTAATCGAGTATTAATTAAATGGTTTTCCTTATCGTATATCTTGATATAAGTATACTGAATTGAATTATTTTCAAGTATCAAATGTTATATATGTACATATACAAAAGGATTTTGTAGCATAGTATTTTGGCATTATTTTTGTAACACCCATCTCAGATAATTAGTTAATTACTTAATTAATTGTGAAATTATATTTTTGCCCTTAGGAGTGGGGGTACTTTAGTAATTTTTTGTTCAGGGAAGAATTTGGGGAAATGAGTAGCACCGTTGCATAGAGTACATGAATACGAGTTCGTAGACATGCGGTAGGCTCAATTCCGATTTATAACGAAGAAGTTATGATGTATGGAAGTGCAGTGGCACAACCGTAAATACCACGAAGTTCTAATTTAAGTACAGACCAGATTCCTTTTTTCTGGTTTATCTCTCTCTCTCTCTCTCTCTCTCTCTCTCTCTCTCCCCCCTCCACGCGACGCCGAAGTTTTAGAGTGCGAGTTTGTCACCGTCCGGCCGCCTTCGGTTGGGTTGAAATGTGTTTTACTAGAATTGAGATGTTGTGAAGTTTTAATGATTTGATGTTGTACTTTGGTTACTCATAAATATGTTGTATTTTGGGTATTATTATTATTATTATTATGATTATAAATATGTGGTTTGGGACATTGGATTTGTGTGACTACACACCATGTGTTGTACCTTCCCCTGGTTCGTTATGAAAATGATGATGAAATTATGGAAAAGAATTGTAATTGGTCTTTGGGACCCATCATGGCACACATATACTTTTTGGGAGGTGTGTCAGGATGTTAGTCTACATGTATGACTGGATCAGCCGCACGTGCGATGCAGGTCCCGGCGTACATGCTGGGGAGCAATAGTCCCCTAATTGGACTGCTTATCTCTAGCCACTTGTATGATGTAGGATCCTGACATGTGATTGAGAATAAACAATCCCCGAGTTGGATTGTTTTCCCTAGTATGTATCTTGATGTGGTACATGTGTGTGTGTGTGTATATATATGTCTTAGGAATATAAAGGTTTCAAGTATCGAATGGTATATGGATAAAGATGGATTTTATTTCATGGTTTACATTGTTTTTTCTAAAACGGTGGGGTTAGTATGTTCATATATAATTTATGTTGTAAACTTAATTTTTGTCCACTTACACTTTCTTGTTTTGCGCCCCCAAGCTATAGCTTGACGAGATTCACCGGTCCACGTCAAATATTTTGTATAGCACATGCCACTACTTGTAGGATATCTATTTATTTCTTTTTGAACTCCTAATACTTCTGCAAACTAAAGTTTTGTAGAAAGCCTTGATATTGCCCATGTAGGTTTGAATTTGAGGCCGAAGGCCTATGTTGTAAATTGTGTGCTTTAGCACTGTGTGTGCTACCATTTGGGATTATTTATCACTTGTTTGCAGGTATTTATAATTTGGGAATGTCCATTTTTCAAGGGAGATTCTGCTGAAATTTCGGTTGAAGTCTCGACCCAATTTCTGTTTAAATCGGGGGCGAAAGGGTTATGTTAGTAAGTGGGCTTGGCATTGGTTAAATGCTAGACAGGAACATGGTTCGTCATAGATTCCAAAGGAGGAATCTGGGGTGGGTCTTGTCAATTTTTTAAAACGGAGGGGGTTATTTATGTTGAATATAAATTATGTTGAACGCTTTGTTTTTGCCACTCACATTTTCTATTTTGCGACCCCAGGTCCTAAATATCCTAGGTCGAAACCACCACGTCGAGGCATCGCAGTTGTCTACACTATAAGAATTCCTCATTTATCTTTCTCTACTTTCCTTTTCCTCGGATTGTAAACTAAATCTTTAGTTGCTCTACTTGCTTCTTTTGAGTTTGGGTAGAGGGTGTGAAGCCCATTTGACTAGTCTTAACTGTTGTGCATGCCTTTACCTTGTGCATGCTGGAAGTTGGGTTGTTCTGGGGCTTGTTTGCAAGTGCAAATTGGGAAATGTTCCACTTATAGGGTAGACTATGTCGACATTTCGGTAGAAGTCGAAGTCCTTACAATTTTTAATTAAGAAAGAAGAGCACTTTAGTAAGGTGGGTCTGACATCGGCCAAATGTAGGATGGAAAACAAGGTTCGTCATGGGTTCCAAGGGGGAATCCAAGGCGGGTCTTGTCAATTTGATATTAGAGCATTAGGTTCAATTTCTTGTGAACTCCGCACCTTGTGTGCATTTTTAGTATCATTAAGTGTAGTGTGTTTTGTTTTGAAATGATGCCTCTTCGATGTGGGTGACCTCGTAAGACGTTTCAGGTACATTTCATAAGTTCATCTCCTAGGACACGTGGTGAACTTGAAGTTCTAGGTTGTTAAAATTGATAATGCCCTAGACACCATGCAATAGATTTCTTCGGTAAACGTACGAAAATATCATCTAATTCTAGAAAATATTTCAGTTCAATATAATTTCGTATCATAACATACAATAAGGAAAACCATTTAATTAATACTTCTCAAATTCTTGGAAAACAATGTAAACTTGTTAATTTAACTCTTATTGTAAAACCGTAAATTCAACACCACCAAAGTAAATCAGTTAATATAAAATATAATCATCAAAACCCAAAATCCTTTTTCACACAACCATACGCTTGCAAAAATATAATATGCCTAGTAATTTCCAAATATCCAACCTCAATTCTGAACTTCATTTCAAATGTTCATACCTGTGCAGAGTACTCTCAATGCACATGCTCAAGAAACCTCA